CTCTCTCTCTCTCTCTCTCTCTCTCTCTCTCTCTCTCTCTCTCTCGTGTAGCTGATATGTTAAAAACAAATAATAACACGGCACATTTCTGGTTTAGTTGAAAGACTTGGTTTAACAGAATAAGAGAATAACAGAGTTGGAAGGGACCTTGGACCCTACGTCATTCTTGTCCAGTCTCTCCTTAAAAGTTGATGGACCACCCAAAACTTCTGAAGACAAGACATTCCACTGGTCAATTGTTCTCACTGTCAGGAAATTTCTCCTTATTTCTAGGTTGGTTCTCTCCTTGATTAATTTCCACCCATTTCTTCTTGTCCTGCCTTCAGGTGCTTTGGAGAATAGCTTGACTCTCTTTTCTTTGCGGCAGTCCCTCAAATATTGGAACATTTCTATCATTCAGCCTTTGTCCTTCTTTTCACTAGTCTAGACAAACCCAATTCCTGCTACCGTTCTTCATATGTTTTAGCCTGCACTCTTTCCAGAGTCTCTACATCTTTTTTTTACAATATGGTGACCCAAGCTGGATGCAGTATTCTAAGTGTGGTCTTGTTAAGGCTTTATAAAATGCTACTAACAATTCAAGTGATATTGATTCTGTCCTTCTTCTAAAGCCCAAAAGAGCCTGAGGCTAGGTTATCTCAAGGAATACCTTCTGCCTGATGAGCCTCTCCAGGGAACTTAGAGGTGTCTAGAGAAGTAGGGCCTGATTGCAAAATTTTGGATGACATTTATTTAATTACAGTCAGTCCTTACAACTTACGACCATTCGTTTTGCAATTGTTCAAAGTTAGGAAGGGACCGAAAAAAGAGACGCACAACCTACCTGTCAATGAATACTTCAGCTTCAGCCATAACAACACAAGAGCACACAATAGATACAAACTCAAAGTAAACCGCACCAAACTTGATTGCAGGAAATACGACTTCAGCAACAGAGTGATCAATGTCTGGAATACTCTACCTGACTCTGTAGTTTCTTCCCCAAACCCCAAAAACTTTAACCTTAGACTGTCTACTATTGACCTCACCCCCTTCCTAAGAGGTCTGTAGGGGGCGTGCATAAGCGCACCAACGTGCCTACTGTCCCTGTCCTATTGTTTCTCTTATTCTTTTATTTTTCTTATATGTACCCATTTCATGTATTCACAACTATGTATACGCTTATACTTATTATCTTGTAAACAATTGGCAAATCAAATAAATAAATAAATAAATAAATAAATAAACCTGTCCTCACACTTGCAACCATTGTAGCATCCCCCCACCCCCAGTCATGTAATCAAAATTTAGTTGCTAGGCAATTGGCAAGCTGGATTTTCTTCATGATTGTATGATTTGCAGGATGACTGCACAAAAAAAAGTTTGTAAAATTGGTGTGTCTCGCTTAAGAATCATATTGCTTATCAACTGAAATTCTGATACGAATTGGGGTCGTGAGATGAGGAGTATCTGCATTATTTTGCTTCCTTAATAGATGCTTTTCTGATCTAGGGAGTACTCCCAAGTGGCTAACATAATTTTAAAACCAAAAACACAGAATTAAAACACAGTAAGTGGAAAAGACGGATTAAAATTAGCAATAAACTTTTTTGTTCTAGCACAAAACTAAAACATTCCTCTCCTTCTTAGACAATTTACTAGTTGAATTGAACTTAATGTTTAGTTCCTGTCCTACACTCAAATATTGGAGGAGGACAATCACACTAGTGTATAAATTGTAAAAGATCAGAGTTGTTCTGTTTTTGTTTTTACATTGGAATAGTAGACTTGGACTATTTATTGCTTTGCCTTGGTTTCATTGTTTGAATCTTTGAATCTTTTTTTTTTTCAAATATTTCCAAAACCTTTTAATGATTCTAGTCACTTTGTAATCTGCTTTGAGAAATCTGGATAGTGGATGGGTTTGAAATAAAATAAGTAAATAAATTAATATTTCAAGGCCGGCCAGCTGGTTGCCTGAGACTAGATCCAATTCTCATCTTCCTTTATTTGTGCTTTGGTGGGTCCTAGCAAATGGAGCAAAGAATAGCAATGTGCAAAACTCGACCAATCTGAGAGCAGAACGATCTGGAATTGGTGTGTTTTACACATCCCTGGTGAACAATGTGCTCAAATGGTTGTTGAAACAAGAGGAAGGAAAAAGGCCTTCCTTGTGTTACAGTGATGGAGCAGAGAGCTACTGCATTCTGTTGATTTTTTAACATATGTGGTTAAAGGCAGTCCCAGCATATCTGGGTTTGTTGTTCTATTGCATCTGGAGCTTGACTGGGGAAAAAGGTGGTTTGTGAAAAGAAAGGATTGAAGTTTCTGAATTTACTTTTGGACTACAGAGTGATGGTGATGATCTGCTTTGGTCCAGATGTAACTAGATCAGGTTGGTTGGATGCAATGTGGAAAATGATATAATCGCATCATGATACGAGGGAGCTTCGTATCACTTATGAGCATGACAGGAAAGGAAGGAAGGAGGGAGGGAGGGAGGTGAAGGGAAGAAAGAGAGAAAGAGGAAAGAAAAAGAAAAAAGGAAGGAAGGAAGAAAAGGGAGAAAAAGAGAGAGGAAAGAAAGAGAAAAAGAAAGAAAAAGAAAGGGAGGGAGGAAGGAAGGAAGGGAGAAAGAAAAAGAAGAAAAAGAGAGGAAAAGAAAGAAAGAAAAAGAAAGAGGAAGGGAGGAAGGAAGGAAGGATGGAATGAAGGAAATGAAGGAAGGAAAGAAATACTCTACCTGACTTTGTGGTTTCTTCCCCAAACCCCCAAAACTTTAACCTTAGACTGTCTACTATTGACCTCACCCCTTTCCTAAGAGGTCCGTAGGGGGCGTGTATAAGCGCACCAATGTTCCTACCATCCCTGTCCTATTGTTTCTTTTTATTTTTCTTATATGTATCCATTTCATGCATTCATAACTACGTTTATACTTATACCTGTTATGTTATAATCGCTTGACAAAATAAATAAATAAATAAATAAATAAATAAATAAATAAATAAAGGAAAGGAAAGGAAAGGAAAGGAAAGGAAAGGAAGTAAATTTGAGTAGAGATTGTGCTACCATAGCAGTAATTACTAGACTAAAAGAGAAGGCTGAGCATTGCCAGTTTGATGGCATTTTTTTTCAATAAAATGAGGATCTGAACTTTACTTTCTTGTATCTCTTTGTCCCAATCAGCTTAACCCAAACTGAAAATCTGCATTGTACCTAGCAAGTAGAAATTTACTTAAAATTATAACCCCATAATTTGCTGTGACTGAGACCACTGAATATTTTTTTTTTCTAAACTGGTAGAAGTTTAGAAAAGCCTAGAACTACATGACAAATCCCAGAATCCGCACTGAATCCACAACTGAATGCTAATTATTACATTCTTTCTCAAGGGGAAAGTTATATTTCTCTCCTCTTTCTCTAACACCCCCCTTCTATTTTGCTTAATGTTGAAGGAAGTAGTTTGGAAACATTCAAAAACCGGCTGACCCTTCTGTGATTATCTACGTGCACCATCATCAAGATTTCCTTGCAGCTGATAATTCACAGAAGGAAACCAGGGGGCGGGAAACAGAATGTGGTAGGGCGGGGGGGGGGGGGGGGGGGACTTGTACATAACATTTGGACAGCAATTTCCTGGGTTGGCCCAATGATGAATTTCTGCTCAGATAAGAGAACGGCCAATGATCCCTTGCAGCTGTTAAAACTCTCCTCCCTTGTCCTATCCGGAGGTGGCAAATCCCGAGTTCTGCTGGAGCTATTGTGTGCCATGCTTTCAACCACGGAGGCTGCATCTGCATTGAAGCCAGATGTACTTCTGTAAATAAATGCTTGTGTGTGTGTGTGTGTGTGTGCGTGTAAAAACGGAGAAAAGTTGCCAACTCGTTTTTCTTGCAAACTAGAACAACACAAACCCTGCCATTCCCCTCTAAGACCTTTTAGCGTCCTGTTCAGTATCGGGACTCCAACGTTTTCCCCGTTTTATTAAAATTCTCCAGTGGTCAATAGGGTTGATGCTTGGTAGATGTAGCAATGGCTCTCCTTAGTAGTGCTGAATTCCCACACATCCATTTCACCTGGCAGGTTTTGTACAAATGGCTGAGCAAATCTACCCGTTAGGCTGGGGCAGAGTCTGGCCTGAAGCTTGATGTCCTGCAGGGCTGTTTAGAGAGGATAGCGTTTTGTCCAGTTTGGAATAAACTTTGCTCCAGTTGCCATGGTTTAACCTTTTTTAGATAACTGTTGGCCTGGATGATAGAATCTTCATTTACACATTCAGTTCGCAAGTCTTCACATGAAGAATATTAGTTTTTTTTCTCCAGATATTCAGAAGGTTTGTATATATTTTTTCCCCCAGTCATCTAAACATCCTTGTAGAACTGAGAATAATCAACCAACAGAACAGAAGTTGCCTACAGAAGTTGTGGGAGCTTCATCTCTGGAAGCTTTCAAGAAGAGACTGGACTGCCATCTGTCAGAAATGGTGTAGGGCAGGGTCTTCAAACTTGGCAAGTTTAAGACTTGTGGACTTCAATTCCCAGAATTCCTCCTCCAGTCACATTAGCTCAGGAATTCTGGGAGTTGAAGTCCACAAGTCTTAAACTTGCCAAGTTTGAAGACCCTTAATCTGTCTATTCTATTCTATTCTATTCTATTCTATTCTATTCTATTCTATTCTATTCTATTCTATTCTATTCTACCTCTCTTTATCTGTCTATTCTATCTATTCTATCTTTCTCTCTCTCTTCCTCTATCTATCTATTCTATTTATCTCTCTTTCTATCTATTCTACCTCTCTTTCTCTAATTATTCCAGGGGTCTTCAAACTTGACAGCTTTAAGATTTGTGGACTTACAACTCCCGGAATTCCTCCTCCAGTCCATGTTAGCTCAGGAATTCTGGGAGTTGAAGTCCACAAGTCTTAAACTTGCCAAGTTTGAAGACCCTTGGTGTAGGGACTCCTGCTTGGACCAGCGGGGAGAGGGGGAGGTTGGACTAGATAACCTACCAGGTCCCTTCCAACTCTGTTATTCTGTTATTAAATAGCTTGCTTAAGCTTCTAATTTGTCATATTGGAGAGACTAGAACAGCTTTCTGTAATCTGAGCATCCTTCACGTAGGTAGTTTTCAATGGCCATGCTGGCTGGGAAATTCTGGGAGATCTGAAGATTCTCACCTGTCCTGAAACTGTATAAACTCAGGTAGTCATAACTGTTCAGTGTGATGCTGAACCTAACATATTCCTTCCTTAAAACTTAATGAGGCTTTTGTGAAAGCATCTTAAAATGCGGGCTGCAATTTCAAAATCATCTTTCGGTATTTTGTTCTGCCAAGGATGATTCCCCCACCCCCGCCCCATCCTGTGACAGCTTTCATGTGACATTATTTTGAATCGAGTTATTTCCCATCTTAAAAAGCAGGGCCTGCAGTTGAAAAGGGAGGGAGACTGAGCAGAAACCAAATGTGTAATCAATCCTTATTGTACCATGTATAATGTCTATTTTCCGCCCGTATTTTTTAAAAGCCAAAAACCACCTTTCCTGATGAGCCAAATGGTTTGAGATAGGTGTTTGGTTTTTTTTTTCTAACCTCCCATTTAGCACAACAGAAGCCAACAAACCAATTAGAACCTTGGAAATACATTTTATATTCCAGGCAACACCGAACTATTTATAGGAATCCATTTATTTTTGGTCATGTGTATTTATTTTGTCTCTCAAGTAGGTGTGAATATTTTTTCCAGTTATGATTTTGTAGATTCAGCATCTACATGGGGATTATACTCGGAGGGAGGGTGGAATTGAAGGCTCCTGGATTTGGGGTAACTGTTGTGCTTTGAGGATTACAGCACCCACAATGTACCACACAAAAACAGAAGTGGCCCTTGAACAGAACACAACCTCTAGAACAAGGGTCTTCAAACTTGGCAAGTTTAAGACATGTGGACTTCAACTCCCAGAATTCCTGAGCTAACATGACTGGAGGAGGGATTCTGGGAGTTGAAGTATACAAGTCTTAAACTTCCCAAGTTTGAAGACCTCTGCACTAGAGCTTGACCTTGAGGAAGCAACCAAAGTTAGACTTGCCTGAACAGAGCATAGCACATGGTTTTTAGGCTTGAAGTTGAGTGCATTCCTTTCATGGTAGGAAAATAATGAACTTGCCTCTTTTTTTTTAAAAAAAGGATTTTCTATTAAATGCATTTCTTAGTGCTTAATAAACACCATGTGGTCTGGGTATTTACTGTGCTTAACAATACAAATTTACATTCTTAATCTCCACCCCTTTTTCCAACCATTGGTAAAAGAGATTCCATGTTTGATAATATTCTACATCTTCTTTCCGTTTAATTTTCAATGTCAAACTATCCACTTCTGCACAATCTAGTATCTTCCTAACTATCTCTTCATCTCATGAACTTGCCTCTTGCAGAGCAGCTTGTACATGTGTGTGGACTTCAATTTTGCTTGCAGTTGTAAACAAGCTTCTAAGGCAAGCTTGATTTGAGAGTAGAGCAGAGTACATAGAGTAGAGTAGAGTAGAGTAGAGTAGAGTAGAGTAGAGTAAAATAGAGTAGGGTAGAGAAGAGTAGAATAGAGTAGGGTAGAGTAGAATAGAGTAGAGTACAGAAGAGTAGAATAGAGTAGAATAGAGTAGAAAAGAGTAGAATAGAGTAGAATAGAGTAGAGCAGAGAAGAGAAGAGTAGAATAGAAAATAGAGTAGAGTAGAGTAGAGTAGAGTAGAGTAGAGTAGAGTAGAGTAGAGTAGAGTAGAATAGAATCATAGAGCTGGAAGGGACCTTGGAAGTCTTTTAGTCCAGCCCCTTGCTCAAGCAGGAGACCCTATATCCATTATAGCGAACCTATGGCACGCGTGTCAGAGGTGGCATGCAGAGCCCTCTCTCTGGGCACGCAAGCTGTCACCCCAGCTCAGCTTTGCCACGCATTCTCGCCCACCTCCCACCGGCCAGTTGGTCTTTGGGTATCTGCCATGCATGCATGGGGTCACACATGCGTGGGGGTGGAGTGCATGTGGGGGAGTCATGCATGCCTGAGTGGGGTCACACACATGTTGCATTTTGGGGATGCGCGTGCACGCTTTGGGCACTTGGTGCTGAAAAGGTTAGCCATCACTGCCCTATATCATTCCAGACAAATGGCTGTCGAGTCTTTTCTTAAAAGCCTCCAGTCATGCAGCACCCACAACTTCTGAAGGCAAGCTGTTCCACTGGTTTTACTGTTAGGAAATTTCTCCTTATTTCTAGGTGGCTTCTCTCCTTGATTAGTTTCCATCCACTGCTTCTTGTCCTGCCTTCAGGTGCTTTGAATAGGTTGACTGCATCTTTTTTGTGGCAGCCCCTTAAATATTGGAACACTGCTGTGATGCCACCTCTAGTCCTTCTTTTCATTAGATCAGCCAGTTCCTGCAATGGTTCTCCATATGTTTTAACCTCCAGCCCACTAATCCTCGTTGCTCTTCTCTGCACTTTTTTGGCTGTGCAAATGCATTGAAGGTGATATAAATAGCAGCTTTATTGAGCTTATTTTTGACACTTTTCTTTGTTACTTACAGATTAAAAATGGGCAGCAAAGTTGCTACGTGTTAAAGAATAAAGATCTGGAACTTCCATCGAAAGGCATGGTCCACTTGGAAATAGAAGTCCTGTTTAATCCTGTAAGTCTATGGTCTTTAGAGGAGAAGTGGTACCTATTTATCTACTTGCATTTGCATGCCTTTGAATTGCTAGGTTGGCAAGAAGCTGGGTGAGGATGGGAGCTCAACCCATCGCATGGAGCTCAGTGTCAGGATTCCAACAGTTACCCCAATTAAATCATGAGTCTCGAGCCAAACTTCCAAAATTTCAAAAGGATTTATTGGGAGTGAACATGTCCGACACTGTCTGGGTGTAGCCGACTCTGAGTCACATAATTCATTGTCACCCTTGACCCTGGTTTTCCCCTCACCCCCTGGGTGTATCGTAATTCATATTCTCCAATGGGACACATCCATAGCCAAGAGTCATCAATCATGTTCTCCAGTTAGATGGCAGAAACTTCAGTCACCTGGTTACTGTCTTTGAAAAACTATTCATGGAATTCACTTTCATTTTCCAAGCTGCTGCTCTGCTCTTTCAAACCCCTTTCCCCTCCTCCCTTTCTGTTGGCAACTCTAAAAAGACCATAGAAATATTTTATGAATTGACACTCAGGTCTCTAACCTAGACTGTTGGCTTTTCAGCTGAGAAGCTCAGCATCTTAACCACAGAGCCTCTGGGCCACCCTAAACAAATAAATGGCTTCCTGAAAAGTGGAAATAGCTGTTTTTTCTCTCCTGATTCTGGCTTCATTATTGAGAGAGATCAGAACTGAGTTTACCTAAACCCTAGACCAGCTGCAACCCATTCCATAAACTATGGTTTATCCTGAATAACCTCTTCATGTGGGCATGTTTCTGGGTGATCTTTTCTCCAAGGCTGAAGAACAGTCTTAACAAGGGAGGTTTCAACTGGAGAGGAGTATTTAGATAAAAGGAATATTGGCAGAAGATATCCAGGTTTATGCTTGTCAATGGGGTGGCTGAATGCTAAATGGAACCCTGAATTCTGGTGTTATGTGGTTGTTGCTACTTCATTTCAGATAAGAGCAAGCATTAGAACCTTTTCTCCACGTGAGAGGAGAAGTTTGGAAGACAACCGCAAGTTTTCCAAGAAGGTATGTCCATGCTGAGGCTCCTAGACAAAACCCTGTTGACCCCAGAATTCCATAACTCTACTCATTCTCTGGAAAGTGCCACATTTCCACATACTTCAGGATGAAAGTTCTCAAGATCATTGTTAGATGATGAACATACAGGACAAGGAGATGGTTTAGAAACATTGATCTCTATTAGAAACTACAGGGATATCAGAGGATGTCCCAAAGGTGCTTTTCTAAAAGCAACTGGACTTGCTTGTTTTTCTTTGAAGACGTTTCGCTTCTCATCCAAGAAGCTTCTTCAACTCTTCTTCTGAACTGAAGAGCTGAAGAAGCTTCTGGGATGAGAAACGAAACCTTTTTCAAAGACAAAAATAACAAGGAAGTCCAGCTGCCTTTTGAAAAAGCACCTTTGGGACCACCTGGATGATTGAGAATCTCCATAGATATTAGAGGTTATTATATCAGCTATGATATCATCCAAATCACATCATTTGCATTATGGCCATGGCAACCTCTGGACTTCCATGACATCACTTGCCCACCCCAGTAGAAGCTTAATGCTGAATAGGAATGTTAGATTCAGGATTGAATATAAGGAATTCATTGGGTTTCTTAATCAGGAAAAACCCCTTTTTCCCCATCATGTTGCTTTCCAGAATTTTAGGGATGATGCATTGTAGAGAACTGTCAATGTGCTCCAAGCCTGGTATAACACACCCATCTAACTATAAAAATAATTTAAACTTGTAAAATGTAGAACAGAACAGATATGAACACATTACTCTGTTTGGTTGGGGGAGGGGGTTTCTTTGCTGCCCAGTCTACGGTTAAGACCTCTCCTGCCCCACCCTGACCATCCTCTCCCTAATTTTCATTCCCTTGGCTGGGCTGCCCACCAGATCTTATCAAGAAATGTGGATCGGGTGAAACGAATCTCCATGGCAATCTGGAACACGATACAGTTCCTCCGAAGCTGCTTTCAATGGGAATCTCCTACAAGAAGCTTGATAGCTTTTGTGGTGAGTGGGATTAATTCTCATACCTAATTAAATGTGGTTTTTTTTTAAAGAGGCCTTTGTAATTAGATAACTAGTGAACTGCTGCTTTTTGGGGTGTGTGGAGGAGATAATATATGTCTTGAAAGAAGATCTACAGTATACAATTGAAAGATCTGAAGAAGAGTGGATATGAAAACACTTCTCGCCCTTTGCTGAACCTTTTCTCTGGGGTGGAAGCTGCCCTCCAAAACAAACCATGTTATGACTTGGAGGAATGCCCAACTATGTTTGCACTTGTGTATCTGTGTGCCCATGCATACCACTTTTTAGCCAAAAAACAGTTCTCCTTGCTAAATGAATAATTTAAAGTTCCCTGAAAAAAACAATAACCCAGAAATGAAAATTATTTTAGAAATTATTTTCCTGGCATGGGGTGGAAAGAGTTTAGATTTATTGCATTGCAACCATAGCAAATTGTATAAGTTCAAGCTTTTAAAAAATTAAAGTACGGTGTATTTAATATTATTTTCTTTTAAAAACATGTCCATTGGAAGTCTGTAGAGTTTCTCATTCATCCAAGTCATGGTTGTCCCAAAGGTGCTTTTTCAGGAGGCAACTGGACTTTCTTTGTTTTTTGAAGACATTCCACTGCTCATCCAAGAAAGTCCAGTTGCCTCCTGAAAAATCCACCTTTGGCACAACTATGACTTGGATGACTGAGAATCTCTACAGACTTTTAGCTATACAATTTGGGATGGACACCCTTCAAATGGTGTGGGAGTAGGAAAGGATTTCCAGAGGAAAAATTGCAGACTACAGTAACCAGGAGCATCACTCAGGTGACCCAGAGGACACAGGTGAACCTCCAAGTGGCCTCAACTACTCTCTAAAAGGATGCAAACGACCAGCTGTTTGCATGAAATATAAACCCTTCCTCACCATCCAGTCAGAGCTGAAGAAGCTTCTTGGATGAGAAGCGAAACGTCTTCAAAGGAAAAAAAACAGAAAGTCCAGTTGTCTCCTGAAAAAACACCTATGGAATGTCCATTGGAAAATTTCAGAGTTTATAAGACAAAGGGTCGGGAGAGGCAAATACCTGGAGAACTTTCAATTCCAAAGCAGTTCCCCCCCCCCCTGAGTTTTCAAAACTTAAAGTAGGGGGGGAAAATACTTAGAAGATTGAAAAGGAATAGGAAGCGATTTGCAGAAAAAGATGATTAAAAAGTGTACAAATCCATGCTGTGTTTATAGCAGGTTGGCAAGCATTTCTAATTAAATGATCTCGCGGAGCTTGTCGGAGCAAGCAATAACTGGCTGATGGAATAAAGCAATTGTATCAAATCTCTCTTTTTGAAATGAATTGCCCATCTCTTTAAAACAGAGTTCTAGGTAAGCCTTGGGCCAACCCTGTGAAGACTTGGCTGGACAGTGAAACACTACAAGTTCTCAAACCCTTATTTCACTTAGCTACCGCAAGCCAAATAACAACCCATAGGAACATCCTTGGATCTCTTTTATCTTCCAAATTATACCCTCTGGAACTACAGTTTATACAGTAGCTATGTTGAGAGATTATACTTCAGAAATTAGAAGAACAGAGCTGGAAGGGACCTTGGAGGTCTTCTAGTCCAATCCCCGCCTCAACCAGGAGACTGTCATGCCCCTGTCGGAGTCTGAATCTGAGGAGGAAGACAAACTGCTGACAGGGAGTGGGAATGAGGAAACTGGGGAAGGACAAAGTCTGGCTGGGCAGAGCAGGAGAGAGGTAGAACAAGGGGGAAGCAGTTCAAATGAAGACCCAGGCCCACCTGTTCTTCATCCTAGGGCATGCAGGGAGGAACGGAGAAGGGAGCAACGTGGGTTGCGTGACTTATGGGGGAGGAAAGGGCCCTGATTCCCTTCATTAGCTGCAGCTGGGAACACAATGTTTAAAAAGGGAAGCTGCACACAGCAAACTGTTGGGAGCAAATTGTGAGTTGATCTGGTCTCTTCGTGGCTTATCTGTGTTCCTGGCATCTTCCCAACTGTATGACTTTTGCCGTGCTTTCAAGTTTGAAATTCCTTCTCCTGCCCTGTCAAGTTAATTACTGCAGCTTGGTTTGTTTGCAGTCTGTATGTATTTTGTTTTGGACTGAATTTTCTCCAGCCGAATGTAACTTGGACAATGGGGGCAAAGTTGGAGATAATAAAGGGACTCTTCTTGCTTATTTGACTGTGTTGCCTTTGTGCCATGCCCTGGGTCATCACACAGTTTAGAGGAAGACCCAAGCCCACCCCCTCTTCATCCTAGAGCACGCAGGGTGGAATGGAGAAGAGAGCAATGTGGGTTGTGTGGCTTATGGGGAAGGAAAGGGCCCTGATTCCCTTCATTAACCACAGCTGGGAATGAGAGTTCAAAAGAGATGCATGCTGAATGTGGCAGTTTCTGGGAGCAAATGTGAGTTATCTTGTATTGACTGTGCTTATCTGCATTCCTGGAATCCTCCCAACCGGGTTGATTTACTGCCATGCCTTCATGTCTGGAATTCCTTCTCTTGCCCTGCCAGACTAACTACCTCATCTTGCCTTGATTGGACTTATAGTTACAGTTTGTGTTGACCATATTTTGGACTTGATTTTCTGCAGCCAAAGGCTGTTCCTGGGAGAGTTTTTCTCCAGCCAGAAGGTAACCAGGTCATTGGGGGCAAAGTTGGAGCTAATAAAGGGACTCCTCCTGATTATCTGACTGTGTGGCCTTTGTGCCATGCCCCTTTGGGTCATCCCAGGAGACCGTATACCATTTCAGACAAATGATTGTCCAGTCTTTTCTTGAAAACCTCCAAAGTTTGATCACCCATAAATGTGTGTCAGTTATCAAGTATCTGAACATAAATCCATGAGGATGCTGCAACGGTCATAAGTGTGAAAAATGGCCATAAGACCCCTTTTTTTTCAATTTCATTGTAAGTTTGAACGAATAAGTTTGTTTGTTGTAAGTCGAGGAGCCAATTATTATGTATATATGCCAATGGTTAAGCACCTGAATGTTGATCATGTGACTGTGGGGATACTGAAATGGTAAATTTGAGTCCAAGTTCTAAGTCATTTTCTTTTCAGGGCCACTGTAACTTCGAAGGGATGCTGAACGAATGGTTGAAAATTGAGGGATATCTGGGTAAACCGTGGGGTCCTTGGTGCTTTCTGAGCTTGGTTGTTTTCTTGCAGATGTTTCGTTACCACACAAGGTAACACCATCAGGGTTAGAAGGCAGTGGGGTGTGCAGAGAGGAAGAGGAGGAAGTCTGTGGAGTCTTTGGTGCTTTCTGAGCTTGGTTGTTTTCTTGCAGACGTTTCATTACCACACTAGGTAACTTCATCAGTGCATATAATATAAGTCATATACAAATATAAACTTTCGAGCTACCTTTTTGAGACCAATCTTATGATGACATAAAACAAAATATTTTTACAAACAGTCTGGAGAATCTTATCCTAGAAAGGTTAACCCTGCTTTATGGAGCCAGTATCTACTATTGCAGAACATACAATGCAATGTAAAGGTTGGTTTTAAACATTGAATGGCTGTTGTGAGGAATTGTGCTTCACTGCACATGCTGCTTAGGACTCCCCCACCTCCCAAATAATTATCCCTTCTATCAAGAGTTCCTAGTGAATTAATGACAATTATGTCATTGAATGAAATTATAGTTTTTCTTAATGCAATTACAGCAATCTGAGGGAAATTAAAGAACAAGTTCAACGATCCCCTTTCTTTAACTTCCTGGAAAAGCCCATCAGAATGTTTTCCAAGGAATACTGTAAGCAGGAATTAAAGCTAACCTCCTGCATTCCTTGTCAATCTATTCTCCAAGCATCTGAGGGCAGGACAAGAGATGGAAACTAATCAAGGAGAGAAGCAACCTAGAACTAAGGAGACATTTCCTGACAATTAGAACAATTAATCAACTTGCCTCCAGAAGTTGTGATTGCTCCAACAATGGAAGCTTTTAAGAAGAAATTGGACAACCATTTGTTTGAAATGGTATAGGGGGTTGGACTAGAAGACCTCCAAGATCCCCTCTATTCTATTCTATTCTATTCTATTCTATTCTATTCTATTCTATTTCTATTCTATTCTATTCTATTTACTCTACAATTAGAATAGAATAGAATAGAATAGAATAGAATAGAATAGAATAGAATA